TTTTAGTAATGACTTTGTTTGCCTCTAGGTGTTCGCTGATTCGTTGTTTTATTATCTTTTCCAGAATCTTCCCAGGTATTGAGGTCAGGCTGATAGGTCTGTAATTTCCTGGATCCATTTTTTTTCCTTTTTTGAAGATGGGAACTACATCAGCTCTTTTCCAGTCCTCTGGTAGTTCCCCAGTGCTCCAAGATCTTTGGGCCAATCTCCAGGAGACGTGAGTTCTACTCCCGCCTTAGGCATGAAAAGCCAACTGGGCGACTTTGAGCCAATCATTAGGTGATAGTGAATTCTAGTTCCATCTTAAGCATGAAAGCAACTGGGCGACTTTGGGCCAATCCCCAGGAGATGGCGAGTTCTAATCCCACCTTAGACATGAAAGCCTATTGGGTGAATTTGGGCCAATCTCCAGGAGATGGTGAGTTCTACTCCCGCCTTAGGCATGAAAGCCAACTGGGTGACTTTGAGCCAATCAACAGGAGCCTGTGAGTTCTAGTCCCGCCTTAGCCGTGAAAGCCAGTTTTGGGCCAGTCCCTCCCTCTCAGTCCAATCTACCTCACAAGATTGTTGTGGGGATTAGGTATGTTTGCTGCTTTGAGTTACTTATAAAGTAATAAGGGCAGAATAAAAATCAATCAATCAATCAAATAAATAAAGCAAGCCAGTTCTGTGAATAGAGCAAAGACTGAAAAGGATCAGGAGAGACTGGGCAGCCTTGAACAGGTTTGAAGGAAAAAAGTTTGATTTCTTTGCTCCAAGCACTTGAAGCTGGCCAAACATCGCTCGTGTATTGTTCCACGGAGTACAGATAGTCCTCGACTTACAACAACTGGGACCGGAATTTCCAATGATAAACAAAGTGGTTGTTAATCGAGTCGCACCCAGTTTGATGGCTTTTTTGTGCCATGGTTGTTAAGCGAATCACTGCAGCTGTTAAGTGAATCCAGCTTCCTCCACTGACACTGCTTGTCAGAAATGGTCTGGGAAGGTTGCAAATGGTGACCCCCATGAGCCCGTGACGCTGCAACCAGTGTAAGTACATGCAGGTTGCTAAGCGCCCAAATTTAGATCACGTCACCATGGGGATGCTCTGACAGTTGTAAATGGGACGACTTGTTTTCAGGGCCTTTGTAACTTTGCATGGTCGCTACACAAATGGTTGTAAATCAAGGACTACTTGTAGAGCCACTCATGTCCCCAGTAAACTGAAAAGGAAAAAAAATATGATATTTTGCATGTGTACCACCCAATTTCAATCTTCAGCTCGATTTTCTGGGTCTCTGCAATAGTGAAACAATACGCAGATACACCCTTCTATTATTAAGGGACACTAACAAAACAAGGACAAACCAAAATGTATATTACTACATTTTGAAGAGCACCAGAGGGAAGGACGAGAAACAATGGTTGGAAACTGATCAAAGAGAGAAGCAATCTGGAATTAAGGAGAAAGTTCCTAACAGTGAGGATAATTAACCAGTGGAACAGCTTGCCCCCAGAAATCGTGGGCGCTCCATCGCTGGAAGTTTTTAAAAAGAGACTGGAAAATCACCTGTCTGAGATGGTGTAGGTCCTCCTGCTTGAGCAGGGGGTTGGACTAGAAGATCTCCAAGGTCCCTTCCTATTCTATTCTATTCTATTCTATTCTATTCTATTCTATTCTATTCTATTCTATTCTATTCTATTCTATTCTATTACCTTGAGCAATTATATGGAAAGTAGAATGGAAATCAATCGATATTTTAAGAATAATAGCAATAGTAACAATGATCCACTGGCGCGGTGGCACAGGGGTTAGGATGCAGTATGGCAGGCTAACTCTGCCCACAGCCTGGAGTTGAATCCTGATGGGACTCCAGGTTGACTCCGCCTTCCATCCTTCCGAGGTCAGTAAAATGAGGACCCAGATTGCTGGAAATTGCTCAGAGAGTGCTATAAAGCACTAAGGAGTGGTATATAAGTCTAAGTGCTATTGCTGTTGCTATTGGCAAAGATCCATAAAGTTTGGTTAGCCTTGGCTTTTGTCTGCCCCGGTAGCTTCCAAAGTTAGGGCAGGGAGATGAGTGGTTTTAATTCAAGCTCAGATTAGATGGCTCTTTCTCATACCTGCCCTGCTTTCAAAACAACCTACTTCTTCGCCAGCTTAGAGGCAGATAAGAGAAAGCTGATCCCTCTCATCCCAAATTAGAAGCTTAAGGAAACAATAAGTGGCCTCATTCCCGTTCAAGAATCTCCAGAGTTAAGTGGGATAAATGCTAAGTTGTATTCTGGGCTTCAGGAAGAGCTGATAAATATAGTTCGTTTTTGCTTCTAAAAAAAAAGTAGGTAGTAGAAATCCAAGAGAATATTTGTAGTCACGGTTGAAGTGTAGAGTCCTTGGTGTTCTCTGGGCTTGGTTGTTTTCTTGTAGACGTTTCACTACCCAACTAAGTAATGTCATCAACGTTAGAAGGGGGTTTGCTGTGTTTATATATTAGTGGCTTGTCCTGTCAGTATTAGTGGAAGAATTCTTGATGGTTCCATGATCAAGCTGTTGTTGTTTACTGTTAGTTGGTTTGTCTGCGTTGTTAAGTTCCTTGATCGATGTTGTTTACATCTTAATAATAATAGTAGTAAAGTTGGAAGGAACCTTGAAGGTCATCTAGTCCAACCCCCTGCTCAGGCAGGAAACCCTATACCATTTTGGACAAATGGCTGTCCAGTCTCTTCTTAAAAACTTCCATTGTTGGAGCATTCACATTTTATGGAGGCAGGTTGTTCCACTGGTTAATTGTTCTCACCCTCAGGAAATTTCTCCTTAGTTCCAGGTTGCTTCTCTCCTTGATCAGTTTCCACCTGTTGCTTCTTGTCCTGCCTTCAGGGGCTTTGGAAAATAGCTTGACTCCCTCTTCTTTGTGGCAGCCCCTGAGATACTGGAAGACTGCTATCATGTCCCCTCTTGTCCTTCTCTTCGTTAAACTAGACATACCCAATTCCAGCAACCGTTCCTTATATGCTTTAGCCTCCAGTCCCCTAATCTTTGTTGCTCTTCTCTGTACTCTTTCTAGAGTCTCAACATCTTTTTTACATCTTGGTTGTTGTTCTAGTGTTAGTGTTAACCACAGAGAACACTCTCACTTACACAAACAGACCAAGCCACTAGTATATAAATATGAAGCAAACCCCACTGCCTCCTACCACTGATGATGTTACATAGTAGGGTACTGAAACGTCCAGACAAAAACAACCAAGCTCAGAGAGCACCAAGGACCCCAAAGTGTACAGTACATGTTAGCAACAACTTACTAAGCATATGAAGACTAATGGTTAATTAAAATCTAAGAAGTAATATGGGACAATGGTTAAAATGCTGCACTAACATCTGGTAAATCCAGAGATCTCTCTGGATAAGAGTGGCCTTGTAGGGCAATTCCAACTAGAGCAGAGTTCCCCAACCTTTGTGGCTTTGCAGACGGGGATGGTTCCGTGCGAGCTGCAGGCAAGTGGGGGCAGCTCCATTTGCATGAGCGGTGGGCACATAGAATAGAGCAAAACAGAATAGAATAACAGAGTTAGAAGAGACCTTGGAAGTCTTCTAGTCCAGGGCTTTTCAACCAGTGGTACGGGTACCACCTGTGGTACATTGGCACCTGGCAGGTGGTACGCGACCATCCTAGAAAAGTGGTAGCGGGGGAGGAGAATGAGCTGAACCAGTGGCAGCACCGCACAAGCCTGAGTGAGAGATGGCTGGAGCTGCAGGGATGTCAGGGCTCAGCGGAAGTGCCAGGATCAGTGCTGCTTTCTAGTTGATCGGCGCTTCTTCGGGACTGTCAGGGCTCAGTGGAAGCGCCAGGATCAGTGCCAGGCTCCACTTGGAGCACGGCGCTGATCCTGGCACTTCTGCTGAGCCCTGAAGAAGCACCAATCAGCTGGAAAGCAGCACTGATCCTGGCGCTTCTGCTGAGCCCAGAAGAAGCACCAATCAGCTGGAGCTCAGCACTGATCCTGGTGCTTCTGCTGAGCCCAGAAGAAGCGCCGATCAGTTGGAATGTTGCAGCCTCTCCAGGGTCTTGTGATTTACATTCAGATGCTTGGCAACTGATTCATATTTATGACGGTCAGTGTCCCAGGCTCATGTGAAGTGATCAAAACCTGCTGCAACCACCCAGCAGACAGGGGGAATAAAAACCTAACACCCCCCCACCCCACCCCCGCTGCCAATCCCTAACAGGAATGCTCACAACAATGAAAACCTCGGACAGGAGGAAGAGCGCTGCCGGGTGGGCAGGCAGGTGTCTTGCTCGGCTGTGGCTTGGGGGGTACTTTTTTCAGTGCCATTGTAACTTCAAACAGTCACTAAGCAAACTGTTGTAAGTCGAGGACTACGTTTTTTTTGGGTCATCAAGTTTTTGACACCTTGCTAGGCGACTAGTGGTACTCGGATGTTGCCATATCCTAAAAGTGGTACAATGGGTGGAAAGGTTGAAAAGGCCTGTTCTATTCCAACCCCCTGCTCAGGCAGGAAACCCTATACCATTTCAGACAAATGGCTGTCCAGTCTCTTCTTCAAAACCTCCAGTGTTGGAGCATTCACCGCTTCTGGAGGCAGGTTGTTCCACTGGTTAATTGTTCCAACTGTCAGGAAATTTCTCCTTAGTTCTAGGTTGCTTCTCTCCTTGGTCAGTTTCCACCCGTTGCTTCTTGTCCTTCCTTCTGGTGCTTTGGAGAATAGCTTGACTCCCTCTTCTTTGGGGCAGCCCCTGACATATTGGAACACTGCTATCATGTCACCCCTAGTCCTTCTTTTTTTTGTTAAACTAGACAAATTCCATTCGCCCTCCGCTTGCGCACTTGCTGCTGCTTGCGCAAGTGGTGATGCGCACTCACGCGTGCTCACCTGCCACTTCGGCAACCCGGTTCTGAACAGCTCAAGCCCTGGTAGCGGGCCATGGGCTGGGGACCCCTGACCTACAGGGTTGTTGTGAGGATAAAAGAGGTTCCTCAAAAGAATCTTTTAAATCTCTCCTCTGGCTTGGTACCAATGTGCTAATTACAGCTTGAATAAAAAGAAAACGTAGCGAGAGAACGCGCGTAAATCCTTTGAGAATTAAGGAAAACACTGGATTAACTTTGCACATGCAGTTAGTTACCCGTTGATGCGCTCCCTCGATATAATACGTAGATGTAAGGATGGCAAGCAGCAGTAAAAGAGACACCACTATCCTTCGGCGATGCCACAGCCTGAGGAAAAGGAAGAAAAACAGCTGTTACATTTGCACATCTGGAGAAAGGAGACAGATCGTCTCTGACTTACTACCATCCATTTAGCGGCTGTTCGAAGCCGCTAATCCAGCACTGGGAAAAAGGGACTTTTGATTGGTTCTTGCACTTACGACAACTGTGGCATCATTTTAATCATGTGATGAAAATCAAGGCCCCTGGCAGGGATCTATGACGGTTGCAGCAATTTGGGGTCATGTGATCGCCAGTTGGGACCTTCCTAGCCCGCTTCCAACCAGCGAAGTTAGCGAGGGAAGCTGAATTCGCGTAACAATGCATGATTTAACTTAACTGCAGTGATTCACTTAACAACCGTGGCAAAGAGATTGTAAAGTTGGGCATGACTTACAACCGGCTTGCTTAACAGCGGAAATTCTGGTCCCAATCCTTTCACATGACAACGCTATGCAAATTATGTATTAACTAAATTTATATGGTGCCCATCCCACTGAGGACTGTGGGAGGCTTACAAACGATAAAAAACACAAACAAATGATTAAAACGGAGATATACCAAGCCAGTCCTCAACTGATGACCGCAACTGAGCCCAAACCTCTGTCGCTAAGCAAGATAGTTAAGTGACTTTTGCCCCATTTTACGACTTTTCTTGCCAAGCGTTGTTAAGGGAACCACTGCAGCTGTTAAGTTAGTAAGACGGTTGTTAAGTGAATCTGGCTTCCCCATTGACTTTGCTCGTCAGAAGGTCGCCAAAGGGGATCACACAACCCCAGGACACGGCAACCGTCATAAATATGAGTCAAATATGAGTCTGAATGTTGATTATATGACCATGGGGATACCAGAGTCGTAAGTGTGAAAAACGGTCATAAGTCACTTTTTTCAGTGCCGTTGTAACTTTGAGCAGTCACAAAACAAACGGCTGTAAGTCGAGGTCTACCTTGTATTGGTTTTTTTAAAATTTTAAATTGTTGTAAACCACCAGACTCGCCCGCAGGTGAGATGGGCAGCTACATAAATCAAACCAAGAAATAAATTTCCCATGATGCTCTTCTGCAGCTCAGTTAGAACAGAGGCCTGTCAAAACAATTGCCAGGGACCACGGTTGTTAAGTGAATCTGGCTTCCCCATTGACTTTGCTCGTCAGAAGGTCACCAAAGGGGATCACGTGACCATGGGACTCTGCAACTGTCATTAGTACATGCCAGTTGCCAAGCCTCTGGAATCTGATCATGTGATCATGGTGATGCTGCAATGGTCGTCACTGTGAAAAATGATCATAAGTCACTTTTTAAAGTGCCACTGTAACTGAGCAGTCACTAAATGAACTGATGTAAGTTAAGGACTACCTGTAAAAATGAGAATTGATGGGATAGACAGCATAGGGGCGAACTCTTCTTATCCCATTAGTCGCCTCCAGGATGGAGTAACCCCACGCCAAACGGAAAAAGCAGGTTTTCAGATCCTTCTGGAAGAGTGGAAACAATTCCCAGCTCCGGCGGTGGATAGCTCTACAGACTGGGGGCCACAATGGAAAGGACCCCGTCGGGTGGAATTCCTTAAGAGACGGGGTCTGAAACAAGCCCCTTCCACTGGAAGGAATGGGGTGGGCTAGTCTCATCGGGGAGTGACGGCTCCTCAGATACCTTGGACCCATGCCATAAAGGGCTTAAATCAGGGGTCTTCAAACTTGGCCCTTTTATAACTTGTGGACTTCAACTCCCAGAATTCCTCAGCCAGGCACACGTGCCTGGCTGAGGAATTCTGGGAGTTGAAGTCCACAAGTCATAAAAGGGTCAAGTTTGAAGACCCCTGGCTTAAATGGTAATGATCAATACCTTGAACCTGAACCAGAAGCACACTGGTAACCAATGCAGCTCGCTGTTACATGCGCCATCTTAAGAGCCTCTAGAAGTGTAGTTTCCAAACGCACTTCAAGGGTAGCCCTATGCAGAGCGCACTGCTGTAATCCACCCGGGAAAGATGACCAGGGCACGAGGGATTGTGCGCGCAGGGCAGGGTGCAACTGGCGCACAATGCAAAATTGAGCAAAAAGGCCTCCTAGTCACAACGGCCACCATGACTGTCAGGTCTCTGCTGGAACATGCTGCCATTCCGAGGGGAGGGGGGATTGTTACTTGAGGTTTGAAGATGTTCGTGGAAATTGTGGAGGAGGGAATGAGCTATCAGGGCCACCTGGATGGACTCCTTTCCGGCCAGTTCCCGCCTATTGCCAAGCTCATGGCGCCAGAGAACGGCTTGTTATCACCTTCACGCCAGCGGATTGGCTCCTGATGGACTGGGGCAGAGGTCATCAACCTTTCTTGTTTGGCGGACCGGTGGGAAAGAGAAGGGGGAAGCACTTTTCGTGCGCCCGCGCATGAGGCTACGAGCAGGCACGTGATGCAAACGGGGCAGGGCTAGAGCTTGCGTCATACTCGCTAGCCCTGCCCCATTCTTGCGCGGCATAGCGCCGTGTTTTTGCGCCTGCAGCACCGCCGCGTCGTCGTTTTCCCGAGGTGTGCCCCATGGCGATGACCCATTTTCGCACCCAGTGGCGTCCTGTTTTCATGCTGCATGGCTGTGGTGCTACTGTGAGTGGGGGGGGTGTGCACGCACAAATGCACGCACGGGCCAGCCTGTCCCTCGGCCCGGTGGCCAGGGCCCACTACCGGGCCACAGCCCAAGGTTGGGGACCTCTGGACTGGGGCATAGGGATGGAGTTTGAATAATGGGAAATTAGCTTAACGTTTCGCATGGGAACTTCAGATTCCGCCTGACTTCTCTGCAATCACTTTCTCTTAGTAAAAGATCCTTTTGAAATAACACTTGTTTCAAGAGTCATGCTTTCCTGAGAACATAGCTGAGGCAAGATCTTACAATGACACCTGCAGGAGGCATGAATAAAGGAGAACCTCCAGATTATGCACTGGCTCTGTTTGGGGCCATGCCGCTCCATCCAGAATGAAAGATGCTAAACAAGTGAATCCTGAGGTTGTACTGAGGTTGAACTTGTTGTAAGCCGAGGACTACTTGTACTATCCCTGTTTCCCCAACAGTAAGGCCTACCCCAAAAATAAACCCTAGTGTTGGGAGAGGCACACACTTAAAAATCAAGCTCGGGTCGGTGTGTGGATCTGCCCTATGCGCACCCACTTACCTCGTAGTTTGGCCTCCCCTCACCGGCCCACTTCTTCTGAGGCGTCTTTTGCAGCCAGGCCTGCATTTCTCAGTCACAGGCCTTTCCTGAAGGCCTGTGCAGCCAAGAACCGGACTAGATTTAATCCATAGTTTGGTACTCGGCTGCAGAGGCCTTCCGAAAAGGCCTGACTGCGAAATACAGGCCGGAATGCAGCTGCAGAACTTCGGCCCCAGAAGAAGTGGACCGGCTGGGCTGGGCTGTTGATGCAGGAGGTGAGTATAAAAGACACCCCCCCTGAAAATAAGACCTGGTGCCTCTTTTGGAGGCAAAAAAAAAACAAAAAGAAAAGACCTGGTCTTATTTTCAGGGAAACACGGTATGGATCCCATTCCCTGTGACACATATGTTGGGCCCAGCTCCAGGCTCACTATTTACAGAGGAATACACTGCAAAGGATTTTCATCAGTAGAACTCAATGTTCTAGGGCAGGGCAAAGACTGATAGCGTAAATGATTGCCCTAATTATAAACAGATCATTGATGGAGAAATAGATCCTATATCTGGAAGAATAAAAGTGGCAAGGAGGAGAAGACAAAGACTATTGAATCTGATCCAGTGTGCCGGTTTCAGAAGCTTTTTTTTCCTAATTCTTTGGATGTCCCAAGCATTTAAACCTTATTCACTCAAAGGCTGCAAGGATGAAGAGTCAGCCACGATTTACCACGGTGGAGAAATAGCTGGTTGAGGGGCAAAGTCCTCTCTTAGCAGTCAGATAATCCTGATCTTTGCCCAATGAAGAATTAATAATAAAAAAAACACTTAAAGTGATAAACAGCCAATTAATTGAGCTAGCTGGAGAACAGGCAGGGCGGGGAAGGCATGAAAAACAAAGACATTAAAAAAAAGCACGTCTACAGGTAGTCCTTGACCTACAACTATTCATTTAGTGACCGTTCAAAGTTAGAACAGTACCGGAGATGTGACTTATGACTGTTTTTCACACTTACGACCGTTGCAGCATTCCCTGTGGCCGTGTACGCATTTATGATGGTTGCACAGCCCTGTGCTCTTGTGATCGCCATTTGTAATCTTCCTAGCTGGTTCCCGACGAGCAAAGTCAGTAGGGGGGAAAAGCCAGATTCGCTTAACAACCACGGCGATTCGTTTAACAACTCTAGCAAAAAAGATCGTAAAATGGGGCCCAACGTTCTTAGCAACTGTCTTGCTTTGCAATAGTGGCGAATATCTGTAGCTCGGGTGTAGGACGAAGGTGGAGGTTGGTTTCTAAACATTTCATTACCAGTGGACTTTAGGGGGCCTCCGTGTTCTTCTGTTTATAAGGGTGTTGTGTGGTCAGTAGGTCTTGTGATGGGTCAGGGGTGGGGGCGTCAAGTGAGGGTCTTGTGATGGGTCAGGTGTGACTCATCAGTGAGAGGCTTGTGATGGGTCTTGTGATAGGGAGGTCACATCAGGTGAGGGTCATTGGGAGTGAACTGCTGGGGGGGGCTTGTGTGGGATGGTTGAGGGTTGGTGCTTTCTCTGGTTGGCTGTGCAGTTGATCTGGATTCTGAAGGGTTCGTTGGCTGGTTGTAGGTTAGTGGGTCTGTTAATAATAACAATAATAAAGTTGGAAGGGACCTTGGAGGTCATCTAGTCCAACCCCCTGCTCAGGCAGGAAACCCTATCCCATTTCGGACAAATGGCTGTCCAGTCTCTTCTTAAAAACTTCCAGTGTTGGAGCATTCACCGCTTCTGGAGGCAGGTTGTTCCACTGGTTAATTGTTCTAACTGTCAGGAAGTTTCTCCTTAGTTCTAGGTTGCTTCTCTCCTTGATTAGTTTCCACCCATTGCTTCTTCCTCTTCCTTCAGGCGCCTTGGAGAATAGCTTGACTCCCTCTTCTTTGTGGCAGCCCCTGAGAGATTGGAACACTGCTATCATGTCCCCCCTCGTCCTTCTCTTCATTAAACTAGACATGCCCAATTCCAGCAACCGTTCCTTATATGTTTTAGCCTCCAGTCCCCTAATCATCTTTGTTGCTCTTCTCTGCGCTCTTTCTAGGGTCTCAACATCTTTTTTACATCGTGATAACCAAAACTGGATGCAGTATTCCAAGTGTGGCCTTACCAAGGCATTGTAAAGTGGTATTAATACTTCACGTGATCTTGATTCTATCCCTCTGTTAATGCAGCCTAGCACTGTGTTGGCCTTTTTGACAGCTGCAGCTATACTGTTGATGGACACTGTTGATGGAACTGATTGTGGAGGGCCAGGCTTTGAGGAACTCACGAGCGTGGCAGGTGGTAGCGTGGCCGATGATTTTTATGTTGCTCCAATTGAACTGGTGCTGTTGGGTGTCGGTGTGGGTAGAGATTAAGGATTTGTCTTGCTTAGCAACAATTTGGGTTCAATTGTGGTTGCCCGTTGAGAACTTACCTGTACAGGGAATATAGCTTTAAGTTTATGAGAGGATTAATGTGCTTGGGGTCAAACACCAGAGCATGCTTTATCTTAAAAGAGTTGTTATCCGATCAAATAGGAAACCCACATAGGCCATGCTGACTGGCTAATCAGTGGAGAACAGTTTATTGCGATCCTATACTGCTCCCAATATAGGAAGGGATATTGAGTTAGAAAAGTCTTTAAAAACTGCTTCAGTGAGATAATGCGATAATGATGATAAAGTTGGAAGGGACCTTGGAGGCCATCTAGTCCAACCTCCTGCTCAGGCAGGAAACCCTATACCATTTCAGACAAATGGCTGTCCAGTCTCTTCTTAAAAACTTCCAGTGTTGGCGCATTCACCGCTTCTGGAGGCAGGTTGTTCCACTGGTTAATTGTTCTAACTGTCAGGAAGTTTCTCCTTAGTTCTAAGTTGCTTCTTGTCCTGCCTTCTGGCGCTTTGGAGAATAGCTTGACTCCCTCTTCTTTGGGGCAGCCCCTGAGATATTGGAACACTGCTATCATGTCCCCCCTCGTCCTCCTCTTCATTAAACTAGACATACCCAATTCCAGCAACTGTTCCTTATATGCTTTAGCCTCCAGTCCCCTAATCATCTCTGTTGCTCTTCTCTGTACTCTTTCTAGAGTCTCAACATCTTTTTTACATCGTGGTGACCAAAACTGGATGCAGTATTCCAAGTGTGGCCTTACCAAGGCAGTGACACCGTTTAGCAACCTAATTTCTATTTCTGTAGACTCTAAATTCTGAGGAATAAAAAGATGAAAAAACTTGACCTACAAAATTATCTAGGGCATTTTAATGAAGAGAAGGACGAGGGGGGACATGATAGCAGTGTTCCAGTATCTCAGGGGCTGCCACAAAGAAGAGGGAGTCAAGCTATTCTCCAAAGTGCCTGAAGGCAGGACAAGAAGCAACGGATGGAAACTGATCAAGGAGAGAAGCAACTTAGAACTAAGGAGAAACTTCCTGACAGTGAGAACAATTAACCAGTGGAACAACCTGCCTCCAGAAGCGGTGAATGCTCCAACACTGGAAGTTTTTAAGAAGAAACTGGACAGCCATTTGTCCGAAACGGTATAGTTTCCTGCCTGAGCAGGGGGTTGGACTTGATGACCTACAAGATCCCTTCCAACTTTACTATTATTATTATTATTATTATTATTATATTCTTCCCAATGTGATGTCCTCCAGGTTTGTCCGAACATCAGAGAACTATAACCCAATTTAAAGCAAGAAAAGTCTGCAAAAAAAAAAAAAAGCACAGCTGTCTGGGGAATTCTGGGAGTTGAAGTCCAGCCATCTTAAAGTCCCCAAGGTTGAGAAACATTGCTATAGAGCATGCAAGGTCAGTCCTCTTAACCACAAGTGCTTCCGGTTTTATGTAAAAGGGAGGAAATTTATCTAACCTCTTGAATAATCAAGGCATAGGAAATTTGGAACCAGGTAAGTGGAGAGAGTTGGAGAACCAGGAGAAGGAAGGATAGGCAGAAAGGAACAGCTTATGCTTTTCAGCCAAGCGATGTTTTCCCCCATCCACCCTTTTGGGGAGTGGGGGGGGGGTGTTCCTTCTCTCCCGGACTTACTTTATGGTCCACTCTTTCGCATTTATTAAAGTTTCCAGGAAGAAATACTGCAAGGTAAGAACTGGTTTTCCCCAGAGGACAATACTCTGACGTGCTTCTTGTTCTTTCCGCCTTTGTTCACTCGACAAAGAGGAGTCTGCAAACAGGAAAGAAAGAAACGTTAAGAGAAGAACTGTGGGAAACAATCGCATTCAACTTACAGCTTTCCTCCCGAAGCTGGATCCCTACCGGTAATACAATACAGGTGGAATCAAGATCACCCGAAGTATTAGTACCGCTTTATAAAACCCCAGTGAGACCACACCTGGAATACTGCAGCCCATTTGGGTCACCATACCGCAAAAAACGATGTTGAGAGTTTGGAAAAAATTCAGAGAAGAGCAACTAAGATGATCAAAGGCCTGGAGACTAAAACATACAATGAACGGCTGCAGGACTTGGGTCTGGCTAGTCTAAAGAAAAGAAGGAATAGGGGAGACATGATAGCAGTCTTCCAGTATCTGAGGGGCTGCCACAAAGAAGGGGTCAGGTTGTTCACCAGAGCACCAGAGGGAAGTACGAGAAACAATGGTTGGAAACTGATCAAGGGGAGAAGCAACCTGGAATTAAGGAGAAACTTCCTGACAGTGAGGACAATTAACCAGTGGAACAGCTTGCCTCCAGAAATCGTGGCTGCTCCATCACTGGAGGTCTTTAAGAAGAGATTCGCTTAACAGCTGTGACAAGAAAGATCATCATACCTAGAAAGCTTCCATTGTGGTGTTCTTTGCTCATTGCGGTGCGCCTCATGTCAAAACCTCTTCCATTCTCTGCCATCTCATAGGTCAGTCACTTCGAGGTGCCTAGCATCAAAATTAAAACACAGTCAGCAACCAGAATTATTATGTAGAAATCAGCCTGAAAGTAAAGGGGCCCATTCCTGTAACAGTTACAAGAATTGGGTCTGTCTAGTCCAGGGGTGGGGAACCGTGGCTCTTTTATGACTCGTGGACTTCAACTCCCAGAATCCCTGAGCCAGCCATGCTGAGGAGAAAGGGAGAAGTTTCCATGCTGAGTCATGCTGGCTCAGGAATTCTGGGAGTTGAAGTCCACGAGTCATAAAAGAGCCAAGGTTCCCCAACCCTGGTCTAGTCGAATGAAAAGAAGGATCTGTGGGGGACATAATAGCAGTGTTAAAATATTTGAGGGGCTGCCACGGAGAAGGGGGGGTCAACCTATTCTCCAAAGCACCAAAAGGCAGGACAAGAAGCAACGGATGGAAACTAATCAAGGAGAGAAGCAACCTAGAACTGAGGAGAAATTTCCTAACGGTGAGAGCAATCAACCAATGGAATATCTGCCTTCAGAAGTTGTGGGTGCTCCATCGCTTTCAAAACGAGACTGGACCACCATCTGTGTGAAATGATATATGCTCTCCTGCTCGAGCAGGGGGTTGGACTAGAAGACCTCCGAGATCCCTTCCAAGTCTATTCTATGTTCTATCTGCAAGCCTTCCTTTTTCCATTCTCTCGTCTTTTCATCACCCGCTGAACAGTCACTGGTCATAAACTGAGGTCTACTGGTTTTATACAAGGCTATGTATGCTACCAATATGCTTACCTTTTTCCTCCTAGAACAGGGATGTCAAATTCGCCGCATCACGTCACGTGTTGAGACGTATCGTGACTTCCCCCCCTTGCCAGAGCTGGGGTGGGTGCGGCTTTTGTGCGATGCATCCGGCCCACGGGCCGGCGGTTTGACACCCCTGTCCTAGAATGTCTCTCAAAACTGTTGAATAAACCAAGCCTTTTTAGAAATAAATGCATAGGTGCAAGATTCGAAACTATAACCTCTGAAATTGATTAATTGATATTTATTAATTGATATTCACCTTTATTTTTACCAACAACCTAAGGCGGTGAACATATCCAACACATCTTCCTCACCCTATCTTCACTACAACAACAACAACAACTGTGAGATGGGTTGGGCTGAGAAAGAGAGGGACTGGCCCAAAGTCAGGTGTCAAGGTATTGATTTAACAGCTAACCAGCTTATGTAATGTATGTAATGATGGGAATGACTCAGCAGGGTCTGTGTCTCTTTAAGAGCCTTTGTATAAAGGGAAGGCTGTGCGAATGTGTTCTTTTTCTTCCGTTTCCTGCTGTAACTGTGGTTTTTTGGATCCTGCTGTGTTAGCTCGTGTATGTGTATTGTTCCTGGATGTATGATATTGTAGATAGTGTAAGATAAATCACCATTTACTATAGACCACTGTTTACTGTGTTTACTCCTGGTTTATCTCACGCAATACGTCTGTGCATGTTCTGACATCAGGCAACTGGCTTTCATGGCTAAGGTGGAACTCGAACTCCCGCTCTCCCGCTTTCTAGCCTGGTGCCTTAGCTGCTAGACCAGGGGAAGGCAACCTTGGCTCTTTTATGACTCGTGGACTTCAACTCTCAGAATTCCTGAGCCATGCTGAGGAGAAAGGGAAAGGTTTCCAAGCTGAGCCATGCTGGCTCAGGAATTCTGGGAGTTGAAGTCCACGAGTCATAAAAGAGCCAAGGTTGCCTACCCCTGCGCTAGACCAAGCTGTCTCTTTCTGGAAATTAATATGGATCTGACTTGAACTATCCCTGAATGCTGAAATATGGTTGATCAAGACTGCAGCAAGCAAGTTGTTGCAAAATGCATCCTGTTTGTTATCTCTAAAATGGGCACTTCTTAAACAGATACGCTGTACAGGTAGTCCTCAGTTTGCAACCATTCATTTAGCGACCGTTCAAAGTTGCAACGGCCCTGAAAAAAGCGACTTATGACCCATTTGTCACAGTTATGACTGTTGCAGCATCCCCACGGTCACATCATTCAAATTGGGATGCTCGGCAACTGGCATGTACTTATGACGGCTGCAGTGTCCCCAGGGGTTACGTGATCCCCTTTTGAGACCTTCCGACAAGCAAAGTCAATAGGGGAAGCCGGATTCCTTTAACAGCCGTCTGACTAACTTAACCACTGCAGTGATTCACTTAACCACCGTGGCAAAAAAAGTCATAAAATGGGGCAAAGCTCACTTAACCATTGTGCTGCTTAGCCATGGAAATTTGGGGCTGAATTGCGGTCGTAGGTTGAGGACTACCTGCACAGTGCTCTCTTTCATTCATCCATACAAGCAGGAGACCTAATATAAAGCAAAGAAATAATGGCTTGGGGGGGGCTGGGAAGAAAGCCATTGTTCCCCGCCCCGCCCCTCCCTTGGCCTGGGACTGTTTACATTCATGAGTTGGAGGCCTCCATCTACAATAGTGGCCAAAATTGTGGAAACCTTTTGGGAAAAGTGTACAGTAGAAATGCCACTTTTGGTTAAGTTTCCACCAATTTTTCTTCTAATTTCTTTATAACTGTAGCCTTATTCACTTAATAATACTATTTTCCATCACTTTCTGGGCAACCAGTCAACTCTTTGCACCATGACTTAATTTTGTTACGTTTTGCAAGCTCACTCAATGAAAGAACACAAAAAAACCCAACCAACTGGATAGCGATCACATAACGCACCGACAAATGTCCTCCTCTCATCGATAACTGAATCCTACTGTGATCTGATTGGCTCATTGCCAAAACAAGATGACACCCGATTGGCTCTCTAAACACTCGTGCTCATTGGCTACAATCAGATGAAGGAAAGCTACCTGAGATCAAACTAAGCAAGTTGTGCTTCCTTTTTCTGGTTATTTGGCTATAACTTTTCATAGAATACAGCACAGATAATTGAACAAACTATGTTGCATTACATTCTTGGTTAAAGTATCTTTCCATTGATATATAATTTTATGGTACTACTCCAAAAAAAGTGGTGTTATTGGCCATCAAACCACAAAAATACACTTTTCCCAAAACGTTTCCACATTTTGGCCACTACTGTTCATCAGAGGGTGCGAGGTTTTGTGTGCTGCCTGCATCCCGCAGATGGGGCTTTGCTTGTTTGTGTGGACCGGTTGCTGGCATGCCGCGGCCCGGTGCTGGTCCACGGACTGGGGGTTGGGGACCCCTGATCTACAAGGAATTCTTTGTCGTCTGTCTGTGAATTTCAACAATGCCCCATTCAGTCTCGGCACATCACATAACATTTCTGTTAGGCAACAGTGAGTGTGATGGCATCGCTCAGGCCAGGTTTTTCCAAATCAGGACAGTTGTGCTCCTGTGGCACAGCACACTGGCCGCTTTTGGTATCCAGGACCTTTAATCTGTGCTGTCCTCCATGTGAGATTTCATAGAGATCGTGGCTTGTCGAAAAGAAGGTTGAAATGGGAGATGATAGCTGTTTTCAAATGGCTTTGTAAAGAGTTTGGATCTTCTCATTTGCTCCAGAGCAGGGGTCTGAAAACTTGGCAATTTGAAGACTTGTGGACTTCAACTCCCAGAATTCCTCAGCCAGCATGGCTGAGGAATTCTGGGAGTTGAAATCCACAAGTCATAAAGTTGCCAAGGTTGTAGACCCGTCTTAAAGAATACCGGGTGGGGAATTCTGGGAGTTGAAGTCCACAAGTCTTCAAATTGCCAAGTTCGAAGACCCCTGCTCCAGAGGGTAAGATTGGAACTCGTGGGATGAAACTTAAAGGATGTAAATACCGGCAGTCCTCACCTTACGATCATGGTGGAGCCCAAGATTTTTGTTGCTAAGCAAGACAGTTGCTAAGGCGAGGCGTGGTCAATTTTACAATCTTTTTTTTTGCCCCAGTTATTCAGTGAATCACTGCAGTTGTTAAGCAAATCATGCAGCTGTTAAGTGAATGAGGGGTTCCCTCATTGACTTCGCCTGTCGGAAGCCGGCTGCGAAGGTTACAAATGGAAATCACATGACCCCAGGATGCTGAAACCGTCCTTAAGACATGCCAGTTGACAAGTGTCTGAACTCTGATCACGTGACCATGGGGATGCTGCAACGGCCATAAGTGTGAAACCTGGTCATACATCACTTTTTTTCAGTGCCGTTGTAACTTCGAATGGGCACCAAATAAAAGATTGTGAGTTGAGGATTGCCTGTATTGGAACTAGGAAATCTGGAACGTGCCAACTCTGCAGAATCAAATTGGCAAGGCGGATATTATGGGAGACAGGCAGCCCATCAAATAAATTAAATTTTAATTAAATTTTAATTAATTTTTAATTAATTTTAATTAAATTTAATTTAAATCCAGGCCATACATTTAACTGATTCTTAAAGCAATTGTGGCAAGATTCCCTTAACAACCGTGTTACTCACTTAACAAGTCCAGTGATTCACTTAATGACTGTGGCAAGAAAGGTGGTTAAATGGGGCAAAACTCACTTAACAACGGTCTCTCTTGGCCGCAGAAATTTTGGGCTCTGCTGCTGTCATAATTTAGAGGACTACCTTTACATTGGACGCTTGGCCATTGTTGAAGAAATTGAGGAACCGGGTGACGAAATATCTCTGACAACAAGACCGAATGCATCAGGTCTAGTAAAATGTAATGATTGTGTTCATGCAACACACTACGCTTAAATGATAGCTTACAAGTCGCATTGCTTAAGTACACACAGCGCATTAGCCAAACAACGTCAGACGGTGATTTACTGCCATATAAATCTAGTTAGAGTGTGCTCTAGTGCAGAGGTCCCCAACCTTTTGGGCACCAGGGACCGGTTATGTGGAGAAAGGTTTTTTCGTGGACCGGAGGGGGTGTGTGGTTTTGTGTGCTGCTTGCATCCCGCGGATGGGGCTTTGCTTGTTTGTGCGGCCCGGTTTCTGGCATGCCTCGGCCCGGTACCGGTCCATGAACCAGGGGTTGGGTACCCCTGCTCTAGGATACCGCTTTTCAGTTCATGGCTGAGT